TATTTTTAAAATAACACGTGAAAAATCCTTCTTTGTTTAACCCTTTTACCTAAAAATCTAAAATAGAAGTGGAAAAAAATATGAAGATATCAAAAGCTCACAACTTAATTAATTAGCTTGCTATGTCTACATTTCTCCATCCCCATTTCTTCCCATCTTTATGAGTTTTAGCTATAACATCCTTCAATTCATTTGCGTGTGCACGAATAACTGAGTTGATATTTATATGGTAAATATTGCAAACAATAACATATATAGGATTAAATCTTGATAGCCATAAATAGAAATTACAAACAATATAGTGGGCCAGGCGAACACCAGAAATTGATCCTCTCACACATGAGTCATTGTGATTTACTCATCCACAACTCGACAAAATATGGGACACTTAGATAATAAAATTTTACATTGTTGTAGGTGAAATTGTCAATAAACAATATTAAAAAAAAAAAAACATTAAATTGATGAATGTTGCCATATCTAAAAATCAAACAATTCATATATTAAAAGTAAAATGATCTTGTAAACGTTTTCCATTATGATTTAATGAATTAAGTTTACCTTCTCAAAAGTAAAATAATCTTGCTCCAAAAGAGGTGATCGATTAAGTAGAACATGATTTTTGCCAACACTTTCAATCGACTGTTCTGTGTACTTTCGAATAGTAGTTGTGGGTTACTCTAGTAACCAAAAAAATATATATAATAATAATAATAAAGTAAAATGATATTCCATACATCCATATATTAACTTATCCAATCTGTAGTATAGCTAGTTAGATTGATACATTTGAAACAGCTAAATAAAGAAAGAAAGAAAAAAAAAAAAAAGGAATTTACCGGTCGTGAAAAATGGGAATTTCTTGTTTTTTTCCCATCATTTACATAGGCATGGATACTAGATTGAGATTAAGGTTTCGCAGTGCGACTACGTTTGTTGAAGCCGCCGGAATCGACAACATTATTCCGATCATGAACGCGCCGGAAGAAAGAGTCGATCTCGTCCCTTCCGGCGACCTCGAAAAACGGGAGTTCATCGCTGAGCTTTCTCTTGCACGAAGGCGCCGACCGCCTCGGCTTCTTGGGCGCCGGCGGGCAGACGAGCGTTTCCGGGAGGAAATTCCGGGGGGATTTCGGCGTCCGGCACTCTTCTTCCTCTTCCTGATGATCACCGCCGCTACAGCGCTTATTATCCTCCGCCGGAACTCCACCGTTGCCACCATCGTCATCAGTTACGCCGGAGGACTGCGAAGACCCAGGCTTTATTCTGGGCAGCTGGATTTCCGGCCTGAATTCTTGAATTTCCGGCAAGTCCTGCCTGAACTGTAGATCTATAGACATGATTTGTGCGTGTGGTGAGGGGAGAGAGAAATGGGAAGGGTGAAAGAACGCGTCGGGGTCAATATATTTGCGTGGAAAAAGGAGGGAAAAAAAATAAAGAGAGAGAAAGAGGCGTGCAAGGAAAGATAATTGATTGAGAGAAAAGGGCAGTTTGGGAATTTCACACTATATTCTTTATGCAATATATATATATATGTGGTCAGGTTCAGAATTTCCCCTGCGATCAGTGCGGTTTATATCATTAGGTATGTATAAATACACCACACAGTATTCGAAAATACACCATTATATGTTATGCATTTTTTTGATGTGTGGTGCATTTAGTTTTGTGACATTTTATTTTGGTGCATTTTCGAACACTGTGTATTCATAATGGTGTAAACTGCACCAATCACACTGGAAGTCCTGTTTTCATTTGAATCAATATATATATATATATATATATATATATATATATATAACTTTTGTAACATGTCCATTTCATATGCCTCAAAACTTTAACCTGTAAATACTAAATGGCTTTACAATTGTTAGATTATGCTTCCTGCCATGTGCTGCTCATCAATCCAATCCATATGTATACATCACCTTTATGCCATCTTGGAGATCAAACATTATTATATTTCCCTTTCTCTACTCTGCTCCAAATAATTTACTCCTCGATATTTTTAAAATTTTGAATTTATACCATTTTTAGCCGATAATATTATTTGTATCCTTATGTCTGGTATATATAATTCTACATGAAGTGTCAAACATCAATGGGCTCTCTTTTGATTTTTGACACTCTAAGTATGCATGGCTGTTTTGGATGTAATAATAACATCATCTTTACTTCTTGTTTCAATTTAATAATTTTTGAACCTAGTATGATAAAAACACTCTTTAAATCTCAACAAGTATTTCTGTTTATAAAATATACGGTTATGAATCAGTAAATAACAGTACGACGTTGTTCACTTGCACGTAATTTAAATTGACATTAGTAGATTATATTTAACCCTTCCACTACTTGATAGTGTGCTTGGATAAATTCTGTCATGTGATCTTAGCTGGTAAAAGAGGTAAACCAGTTTAGGGTAACTCAAACCAATAAAATCAATAGGTCACTCCCGCTAGGAGTTAGATTTAGAACTTTTTGGTTGTCAAATGAACAGTTGGATTAATTTGTTAAAATTTTATTTTTGGACAGTAGATAGTACCTACCATACAGATAGAGTGTTGTAATGGATTGAGATTAAAGCCACGATGTCAGAAATGCAAGTAATTAAGGGGTTTTGGCAAGAAATGTAGTTGGAATTATTGAATGAAGTGTGGGTAAACATAGAAAAAATTGGGAAGAATTGATAAGTGTGGGGCTCATCCTTTTAAGAATGAGTGGCATCCATCACACCCATCCCAGCCGCCATTGCATTGGGATTGCCATCATATACACCTAACCATGTGTGAATAAAGATGACAACTTATCCCATTTATGTTCTATGAAAACTCCCAATTTTTACGTTGGACATGTTTTCACATCCAAAACTCACCCCAAAAAAAAAAAAATTATGAATAGTAATAAGATTTGCATGTAGTGACTCTTTTATAAGGTCATGAGATCGAGTCTTAGTAAAAATAAAATAGTTGTAAATTATACAAGAAATATATAATGTATTAAAAAAAATTGTGTAAATTTGTAACATTCATAAAAGCATGTCTCATTCAGTTGTCAATTTTTTTTCCAGAGTTTATTATGGTACACAGAAGATCTTAATAATATCAGTAAAAAAAATTAATTATTATTCCTAAGATATTAGTCTAGCAAGTGTCACTCAAGAATTACTGTCAAGTGAAGTTTGATTTTTGTCATGAATATTATAGGTCTAGGTTGGATTGAATTCTTTATATGCAGTTTTATATTGAGTTTAGAAATTAGATTAACTTAATTGTATTATTATAAAAGAATTATGAGGGTTATGAGTTATTTAAGTTGTGCTTTAATGAATATATGTTTGTGTGTGAGGTAGGCTGGTTGTAGATAGAGTCGCTTTCAATTGCGCATAGGATACCATAAGAAAGAAGGTTGAATACGCATTTATTATTATTATTTTATAATAATAATGTAATATATGAAGTCTCAATCTCTCAAATCAAATGGGCAATTAGGCAGTGTTTGGATGAGCATTCCTACCAAATACCCAACACAAAATTAAACCCCCAATCTTCTAATGAATCTTTGCACGTGAAATGTCTCATCAACATCTACTCCATCTTCTCCCCTTCATCATTTTTTTTTTTCTTTTAATCCCCATTTTCACTGTCAACCACTCCCCCATTAATTTACAACATTCCATCTTCCTATCATCATCACTTCCATTTCCCAACGCAGCCTTTTAATTCTTTTTTTTGCTTTCTTTAATGTTTCAACCTGCCTCATAGGCTCTAATGACCTTCTAAAGATGGTCCTAAAAATGGGATTTGAAAGTTACAGTTGTATATACTCCGGTATTGAGTTGTTAGTTGCGTACTCACACCGGTATTAATGGTATATTATATATATGAGTATACCAAATATTATATATTTACAAGGGACTTCACAAGTCATAAGTCAAAAAATTAATTCAACTTCAATTCAGTATCATTTGTAATTTTGTGCTCTAAACTAGTGCTAATAAACATTATTGATAGGGGAATACAAAGTATACCTACTAACTCTTGACCTAGATGGCTAGATTCGATCACGGTAATATATTTTTTAACTTTTTTTATCAGAGATACAACCCTAGTTGAGAGGCAAGGTAACTTGTGAGACGTTACTCTAGTCATCCATCAACCTTTATTGACTCCGTGCAGACACTACACACCTTTCCCCATCAAAAATTTTGGCACGTATCCAATCCCACGGCTATAAAAGCCAAATGACCCCTCAAAGAAAGAAAAAAAGCTCATTGATGACTCATTGAAAGATAATTAATATTATCAATTATAAACTTTCTAACATCTCACATAATTAATATTATTAATTATAAACTTCCCATATGATAACACCATGCACTATTGATAACCCATTCCAGTCACTATACCTAGTACAATCATAATGATGCAATTATTATGAATATGAAAGACACCATAGAATTTTCTATATATGTAAAAATTATTATATTTGAAATAATTATAAGCCTTGAAAGTTAGAATAGGATATACTATTGCTATCCCAACATTTTATAGCATGAATCCAACTTTAGAGATTTGAGGTTAAATCAAGCACGTAGTCATCTCCATGCCCAATAAAATGTGGGACTCGGATCACACCCAATCCCATCATCAAGAAAACAAGCTCCAGTCTTTCATTGACCGGTGATTGACTTCCATTTTCACAATTGTTGGAATAAACTTTCCAGAGAGGCACCCATCATTTCACATCTGAATCTCATACTATGCTTCACTGTAAAAGCTAACAAGATCGGATAATATCTATATTCCCCTCCCACATCTCTACATTGAAGGGAAAAAAAAAACAAAAAAGAAACAAAAAACAAAAAACAAAGGGGTGTATAATTCAAGGAATATTTTGAGATAATGTAATATTCTCGAAAATCTCATATAACTTAAGAATGTTATTCCCATGGGAACTACAAAAAATGAACTAAAAACAAAGTTTAAGAATCCCCCATTCCATTGAATCAAATAAGGAAACTGATATTACCATATTCACATTCCTAAGAATATAACATGCAGCGCAACTAGCTCAATCCACAACTCCAAATATTTTACCTACTTTAAGAATAACATGTTCCATCACAATTCACAGCCTAAGTACCTCAATATCTAGCTAGCAAAGAAAGTGGTGAATGGGACACACTGTCCGTAGTCTCAAGGTCATTCAAAATCAATCCAATCCATGCAAAACTTTAGAAGGAAACATTGAAAAATAGGACTTGAAGAGATTGCCATGATCTATCTATATTCTGGGCAAGTTCAAAGGAAAAGCCATGCTTCAGTCCAAAAGTTTCATAATGGGAGTGATCAAGGCCTTGAAAAAAGCCAAAACTGGATTTGTTTCATGCTTGGTGGTTGTCCCTGTGGTCTCTTTCCATGTTTCACTGCTTAAAAAAGTATTTGCATGCAAAAACAAGTTAGTGGTGGACAACATAATTGCAGAAGATATCGAAAAGACAAACTACAATATTACAAAAATATATCAAAAGCAGCATTCGGCAAGTCCAGTGCAGTCATCAGGTACTTACAGATTGATTCTATCAAGTGGAGGATTATTTCCTTTCTGATGGCTGCTGTCATGTTCTTGTGTACCAGGTCTATTTTTTATTGCAAGAGGCTCCTCTGAAACTAGTTTCTCATAAGATCTGTTGGAACTACCAGTAAAAGTCTGCAAAAGCATGCCAAAATTTTAAACTAAACATCTCATTTTAAACATAATTGGAGAAATTTCTCAGGTAATGATGATTCTCAGATGAATTGTTAACTTTGTACTGGAACAAACACTGCTGACAAATGATAAGCATGACATAAAGCAGCCTCTAGTCAGCAATTAATTTAATGCTTATAATGCTTGACAAATAAGTTGGAAGGGAATATTATTATTTGGGAAAACCATTTTAACTTGACAATCAAACCATCGAACAAGTTATGATCCATGACAACCTCTAGCTAAAGAGGGCAAATGTAATAGTGTGATGTAATCACAGATAGAATTGGATGCCAAACATTGAGTTGAAATCAAACATCAGGAATATGATTCCAATTCATCAGAAATTACTTTTAAATGTGGACCAGTTTTCAAACTGCAATTCATATAAAAAAAAGCCAGATGATTGTAATGGGATGAATGCTAAAGATCATGTTTGCAATTTCACCATATTGTTTAAATCATTTACTTTGATTTCTTTAGGCACAACTTATGAATAGACTCCTTAAAAATGATAGTTAGGGTAGGCTAGACAGCAATGAACAAGTACTTGTCCAAACTGATAATTCCAAGGCCCAAAACTTTTAGGGTCTAATATTTTTCTTGTAACCCAGAGAGTTAAGTGAAGGCAATGTACAACCCAACCTAAACTAAAAATAGGGAACCTAACTTTAAACACAAGCTTACTGCTTACCTTGGTTTCAACAGATGAATCCTTTACTTTTAAGTCAGCAGCAGTGGCTGTTTCATTTGTGGAGGAAGTTGAACTTTGCAATGATGATTCCAGGACTTTCTTGTTCATGACTTCAGAACTCATCTCCAACGCTGGACCTGCAAGCATTGCGTCAACCTTCTTGTTCATCAAATGAGAATGATTTTTGGAAGAGTTTATAACGTCATGCTCTCTTCTGGTTCCTAGTGAAGTGCCATTTATTTCACTTATATTTTCATCCGAGTCAAAAGCTGTCATAGAAATGGGCCGCAATGGAAACTTTTCAACCACTACATCAGCAATCTTGCGAGCGGCACCAGCTTTTGATACCTTGAGTTCTTCTGCCCCATCTTCATTATCTGCCAAACTTTCCTTTACTGGTGACTCTATATAGATTGGTTCTTGAGGTGTTTCAACTCTCTCAACTGTAAGACTGCTTCCGTCAACAATTTCCTCACTGCACAAACTCTCATTCTGAGCTTCAGTTTCAGTGACATTTCCAGAGGAACAGGAAATCTTATTATCTTCGACATCACCTTGATGATGAAGCAAAAGATTCCTTGAAGTGTCATTACTCATGTTGTCATCTTTCTCTATTGCATCACTGCACTCAACAGTTTTTTCATCATTAAGTTCCTCAACATCTGTTTCAGATAATTTCAAATTATAATGCAAAATTCGTTCATCTTCAAGAATTTCATTACGACTAGGTATATTTGGTTCTTCATGTCTGTCTTGTTCAAGTATGTCACTTCTAACACCAACCATTTGTTCATTATCTGACTGGTTCTTATCAAATCCATGAATGTGCCCATTGGAATCTAAAACATTTTCTTCACTTGTACTCTGGTAGTGATTGGGTGCAACGTCTGTAATAACAGGAATGGCATCTGTAGATGATAAAGAAGAATGAGGTTCAACTGATAGGGAAAATAATGGATGTTCATCAGTCAGCTCTTCTGAGGGAAACTTAGCAGGGCCTAAAATTCTATTTTCTTGAATTATTTCTCGAACAATTTCCCGTACTGTGTAGAAAGAACCACCAACTTCCTTGTGTGTAAGATTCAGTGAAGGAAAATTCCCATTATTTGATTTCTGATATCTGCAAGCCGTAGACAAAATTATAAATAAATAAGTAAAACGCGCTTTTCAAAATGGTCTCATTTCAATTAAATAAATTAACCAACAACAATAACTGATTTCAAGAAGAATGAAATAGTTGCTTGACCTCCACCCAATAAACTAACCCTTTAGTATTCATACTATTCAATTGCACAAATTATCACAGAATGAATTATATAGATCAGAAAAACGCTAGTATACTGAATATCCTATATTGGCAGCATGCTTCTAGCTTTTAACTATTTTAGCATTCTCTAGATTTATATACACACAAGTTATAGTCCTTACTTGGTATGTAACATTATATGCATGTTCACACAAAAAGTGTTGCCAAAGTGTTAATTTTCATCATAATCATATTAGGGATTTGTATGGGTGTTAGTAATACAAAGAGAGCTTATTTCTTGCTTGTCACTTCTGAAGTTACATGGATATTTATGTAAATATGACTAAACACTTCTAACCACCATCCCTCTGTAACTCTAAATCACTTTGTATTCCTAAGACTTAACAATTAAAAGTTTAATTTGAAAGAAAAAATTAAGTTAAATTTTCTTTTCCTATTAAAACAATTTGGTTAAAATAAATAAATAAATAAACAAGCAAAATTGGAATGGTGAAAACCCAATAGAATGCCAGAATTTACGTGTTTATAAAAGTCTCAACCATGGATTTTCTCTCCTCCTTTGAGCGCCTTATCCTTGTCTTCCTTCCTCCAGAATCATTGCAACCAGCAACTGCAAATGCTTGCCCAGCCCATGCACACTTTACTGCATGCATTTTGTGCAGAATGTTCACAACACCAAGGATGAATCCTGCACTCAATTAATAAGAATATTCTTCAATGTCAACTTCTTGCAAGACAAAAGTATTGTGTCAATAGCTGATGTCCAAGAATATCAGGGCTAAATCTAACTTAACCAAATAAGTAAGATTTAACAGTTGATTGTTCTTGGAACAAGTCAAAAATTAAATACCAATATCCAAAAGATATTCTCCAGCCAAGTAACCAAATCACTTACAGAATGCCAATCTCAAGATGACACAAACAATCCTCTCATATAACCCAAAAAACACACGCGCACACACACACATCTTGTATTCTTGTGTATCATACTAAACCAAAAGCTAAATGGGATAGCACATAAAATGGTAATAGATAAATAGACGGCCACAAGAGCTTTAGATAAACCAAAACTGCAACAGGATATTCTTCCACTAATTACTTCTCTGCATATTCATGTTTTTGTACCCTAGTCCCTAAACCTAATACCTAGTCCACAACCAAACACATGCAAGACCAAGTAAAATACCAGTAGCAACCAAGTGAAAATATAAATATACAACCAAAAATTGACAACAAAACCAAACAGCTATAGCTCTAAACTTAAGAAGTATAAATCAGAGGATTATAAATAGTTTGAACCAACTTACCTCCCAAAAATGCTAGAAACAACTCACTTTATCCGAAACTATTTACGCAATAATTGCAGCTTGTAAGACCAAAGTATAAAGTTGCAAAACTTTGCAGTGAGAAACAGGATAGAAATTTAAAACTGAGCATAAGTCTATAGATATAAAATCACTCATCGTCCTTTATCTTTCATTCTCTATATCTCTTCCTAGTAATGCTAGTTAATAGTTATCGAAACGAGAACTAATCCTCCAATATTTAAAGCTTCATCTCATCCGTGATCTTTCACTTCAGTTTTCTGTTTTCACACACAAAGGCATCGTCATATCGACATGCTCAGAAATGAGTATTAAAACTGCAGACACGGAAACATTTCCACTTTCCAGAGCTAACACAAACTGTAACACAGTGTATGTCAAAAGCTAGAGATGAAGAACACTACCTGCAGCCGAAAGAGATCAGAAATGAGGAGCGAGCGAGCGAGCGAGGGAACTAAAACCCTATTTGTTCGAGAGGGTACTGATAGTGAAGAGAGTAAAAACCAAGCAGTCGCATTCCAATCCAATTTTGGCTACAGAAGGCGGGCAGGCAGATTGCAGTATTGTGTTTATTACTTCAAAAAGATCACTGGACTGACTTTTTTGAAAACAAAAATGTAAAAACTAAAACGGATTTTATGGGCGTTGGACTGACTTGAACCCATTTTGTGAGCCCATTCATATGGTTTGGGTCAGGTGAATATTGTGATTTTGTTTTTTACAATACAAAACAAATTGGCGCGTACATGACTCATCAATCCAAATCATGTCTCATATGATATATACTGTATCAATCAGCAACCAAGAGTGTACTTTATTGCCAAGTACTTTGTGCACAGATGACACCGGGTTGGATTCCCATATGAGAAGTTGTGAGTTCAAACTTCAGTGGAGACGTCATTGGCTCTTTGTGCTTCAGTAGGTTGAGAAAGTAATTATGAACATATACTACATTGTAATAGAGTCAGTAGGATTCAAAAAAGAGTATACTTTATTTGGCCATTTGTGAGAACGTAAATTATAACGTGGACATTAACAATTATTGTGAAAATGTCAAAGGACATGCTTGTAACCAACCACACAAGCGTGTGTGTGTATATATATACATATTCCATTAAATTGCAAATTTATTTTCATATTAATACAATTTATTAATTGTATTTTGATTTTTAAATGAAAATTTGGTTATTGAGAAGAAAAAAAGAGGAAGTCAAGAACCAAATGGAAATGGGAGCAGGGGAAGGTCCTCCTCAAAATTAAAAATGAAACCATTATTGTAAATCTGTATTTACATGAAAGAATACAATATGCAAAATTGTCCAGTCTGAACTGAAGAAATAATAGCATCTAGCAAATCATGCACTGATGGGTCGGTTTGGGTTCAAAACTCGGGCAATCCTCCTCTCCTCTGAGTCTCAAAACTGAGGGCGAGCCAAGTTTTTAAACTTGTTCCCTGCTTGCTAAGCCTCCTGTCATTACCATATATAAATCTGTGCAATCATCAAGTCAGTCATGTATGTCAGTGTGAGCTATGTTTATGTTGTTAGAAAGAATCAAGCCACTCCATCGGCGCTCAACTCTTCAGTCCAGAACTCGGGAACAAAAAATGAGTGATTCTTCTGCTGCTTCAGGAGCCAAGTGATTCGTAATGCCAAAACTCGTTAAGCTAAGGATTATCTATCCTCCAAGAGTCTTTTGTTTATACCCATATTTCATCCTGTCAAATAGTTTCTCTCTCGTCTTTCTCTTCTTGTCCATTTTTAACCTATATCTGTTTTCCCTCTCCCTCTCGTAAATCCCTTGCCAGTAAACCTCACCTGTCAAAGGCCACATCCAATTTTCATATGGATGGTCGTCATCATCTGCAGCCTCGGCTAGGTCTTCGTCCATACTTTTTAATAAAGTAAAGTTGAAGTACTTTGCCCACATAAATCCTTTTCGCTTCTCAACAGGATGTTGTTCTTCCAACAAACCTGAATGAGGATCAATATAGACCATCTTTCTACCACTATGATATGCCCAGACATTTACTAAGAGTTCCAAAGTGCGACAGTACCAGTGGTTCATCTGCTAGTAATAAAGAAACAAACAAATGAGGAATTCTCTGTTGCCACTACTAACCCTATCCCTCTCGCCTCTCCTCAAAAAGAAAATTAAAACTAATCATGTTAAAGTATGCAGGTGGTACCTCAATCGTCGATGATGACAGTAAACGATCAGAGGTCTTGCTTGAATTTAAATGCAAAGCGTTGAGGGAGTCGGCAAACATCCTGTAGTTCATTGAAAAAAAAAAAAAAAAAGAAAAACTCATTTAACCACCTCAAATGTTGGATATAGTAATCAATTAATCATGGCAGCAGGGTTCATATGCCGCAGACAAAGTAGAATCTCCTTGCAGGTAAAAGTGTAAACAAATTACCTGGAGAACATTACAAACTCCAAAAATGAAGGGGTTGGCATCACCCATGAATGCAGGGCAGACCAATGCCCACCATCTTCAGGCATGGGTGGAAGAGCTTCCAAGTGTGATGGTAAACCATACATTCTACGAAATGCATCTTGGAAGGAATTTCTGCATCAGCTTTTAAGGATGAGTTAAAAGAGGAAGAGATCAAACAAAATATTGCACATTGTTCATAATTATAACTGAAAAGCATTAGACATCGCATACATATTTAGAAGAAACTGAATGAAAAATAGAATGATATAAGCGAGCAGTTTTAGCTACAAAGTGAGCATTTACCTGCAGTTCCCTCCATTCAGAATGTCACACATGGACCAAAATGTAAGTGCATTATTCCTTCCTGCAAGCCCACTATCAACTTCTAAGTGTGCCCAAAAATATATTACATCTCCTTTAGTATTTCCCCGTATTGTTTCTTCCAGAGCCTGCTCTGCCCTTTTAGTTAAAGAGACCTGGTAAATATGTATACAAGTAGATGTCAGATTGGAAAGTGTAAACAGAAATATATATGAATGAAACACACAGTCTTATCATACAGATGCAGACTGAAAGCTAGAAATTGTAAAAATAAAGTCCCACTCATTAATGTCCTCAACACAATCCTACAACTTCAAGAACTGCTATAACCTCTGTTTGGACAAGTTAAGAAGAATGAAACACACCTTCCTCCCAGTGGCTTGCCATGACTGAAATCCAATCCAAGGTCGCTTATGAATATTATCTATCCCATTTGCAATTGAGAACATGCCTCCAATCTCACAAAGGATCTCTCTATAATATGTCTCGTTCAGCAAGGGAAGGCGGCCAACAGCATCCACATCATCTGACTTCAACCTTCGTGCTTTCGTCAGCTGAGGCAATATGTCTAATCTAAATTAGAATAGAACAATTGCAAATAAAGAAAAGCTTATATAAATATATAGCTAATCTGCCCCAAAAGACAATTTTCTTAATCTTCTGATGGGGAACTATGACATAGACATAGGGATTAACAGATCATAAACCAATTAAATTGAAAATGGTTTCAATTGTTTGAGATGATCTCACAAGGCTTAATCCACGGTACAAAGAACCATGATGTAGAAATGGCCAAGCCCCAGCTCCATTGTAAATCTCATAAATGCACAAAGATTGTCCTGTCCTTTCTAGCTCTCCCTCATCCCGCTCATTCGTTTCAAACCGCAGCTTCTCAGATTTACGAGCATTGCGATATATCTCATCCCACTCACCAATGTGTTTCTCCATTCTTTCCTCCATCTACATAAACAAGTAGGAATATTCAGAAGGCCGTGAAGGAAAACAATACAGAGAACTAGTTAGATGAGTACTTTCATTTTCTTAATCATTTTGCATGTGCAGTGGAACAACCCTTTTGTGCGTGTGTGTGTTTTTTGTTTTTTTTTTTTTTTTTGGGGGGGGGGGTGGAAGGAAGTAGAGGATAATCCTCTATTTAATTCACCATACCTCTTCCATTTCTAATCTATCAACTTCCTCAGAGCTCTCTATTTCTGTTAAAATGTCCCAATCCAACTCAGTTGGAGAATCCACATCTAAAGAATCATTACTGTCATCAGAGGCATTCTTCACAGAAACAAAATTGGCCATGTGTTCCTCAAGGTCAAAAACTACGCTCGGATTAACTGGATCCTTATCCTCCATGTCGCCAGTGTTTTCTTCTTCATGAAAATAATACCATTCCCACATGCCCTGATTAATCTGAGAAGAATTACCCGGAAGTACAACATCTGATGGGAAATTGAAGACATTCTCTAGCAGTTTTGCATAGCCTGTAATGCATTCAGATACAAGCATATTCTTAGCAACCAGTCTGCTAGAAGATGCAATAGAACGGGCAAATTTTGTAAGTTTTCCATTAGAGATCAGAAGTGAGAAAGCCGTCATCAATGCTTCAGAACTATGCTGTGGAAATGTCATTCCATGAACCCCATCAACAACCTGCAGAATTAAAAATATCTGTTAGAGATGGTAAACAGAAAGCAATCAGTTCAAATTTTCAGTATGAAATATCCCAATGAAGAAAGATGAAGATCCCTCACATATTTACGTATGACAGGGTAATCAGATGCAACAATGGGAATTCCAAATGACATGGCTCGTATTAGTAATGGAGGAAAGCTCTGCTCATCTTGAGAAGAAGAATAAAGTACAATGTCAGACATCATTATAAGACCATTGACATCGCTATTTACACCATAACTGTATAAGGATCCTTGATCCAGTTCAAGGCGGGTAGCAACATCCTACAAAAAACACAAAGTAATTTACGCCTTATGATTAAGAAAAGAACTATAAAACTAACTACTGAGCTTCCCTGATAAACAAATAGTGTGGTCACTTGGTAGGACATGAAGAACGAGGAAAAAAGGAAGTAGCAAGGAGCAAAATGAAAGGAAGCACTGAAGAAACTTGAACACAAAAAAGGAAACTCAAAGTAGCCATTCTCATAGGTTTCAAGTACACTACCACTTCAGCAAAATTCAATTAGACCATTGCTCCAAGCCACCAAAAGTCAAGAGAGAAAATCAAGAAGAGTACTGTTTTTTAAAAGATTCAGTTATATAGGAGAAGTTGTATACCTGTAAAGCATAATTATATCCCTCAGTAGTGTTTCCAGACAGGAACATGAATTTTAGTCTATCACCCATATCTTCTTTTAATCCCACATATTTTATTAGTAGAGGTTCCATCTCACGCATAGGCATAACGTAATCCCATGATAGCCTGCTGTAGAGAAATGAACTTCCAACAACCATAACAAGTATTTCATTTTTATCAAAACCATACTCCTCCCTCAACTGATATTTGGAATGGGTCTTACTGTAGCTTTCAGCTGCCCAAACATCTTTTGGTGATCCAGGTATGACGAAGAAGTTTCCAGTGTCAAACACACTATATAACATCTGAGAGAAAGATAATTAAGCATAGGAAGGATTTATGATGATGAGGAAAAGTACAAGAAAAAGTGTGATGTGGAAATGAAAAATAACATAAGTACCGGCAAAGAAAAATCTGGAAACACAATAACATCAGCCCTGCGGAATGCACTCCTCCAATGTAAAATAAGATGCTCCCAGCCCATACTCTCATACACTTGAAGCCTATTTGCTAGTGTATCTTGATGAATTATCCATATAAGTGGCACAGAGCAAAATGGCTCCTGCATAAGGCTGCATAAACATAATACTCACAAAACCAGAATATTTCAAACAAATGAACAATGTCGCAAAGGGATGAATGTAGAGGAATTTTGATCTCTTTCACAACTTAGTATACTACAGAATCCAAATAATTATAGAGAAAACAATTAGCAATATATGAAAAGCACATATATATATATATATATATATATATATATATATATATATATATATATATATATATATATATATATATATATATATATGTTTCCTAAATCCTAAGCATTGAAGTGAAGAAATTCTCAACTGTTTAATTCAGCTAAATAGCAAGCAAATTGTGCAGAACATAGAAAAACAAGGCCTGAAGTGATAGAGTTTAGTATACAGCAAAAATAAATAAATAAAATAAGCATAACAAAACAAAAACAAAAACAAAAGAAGCATTTTGCAGTGTCTTGTCTAAAAATGTGCAAAAGGCTGGAATTAAACTCGCCAAACTTCAACTCAGAAAATCAGGAACAAAAAAGAAATACCTAATGAAGAAACAACCATATGATACAAGTGAGTGAGTGTAAAACCAAGAATAGTCTCCATAAGCAAGAAAACCAAAATTCATCAGCCAACCAAACTAATACCTTGAAATGGCTCTTTTATCTTCAAGAGAGTCGGCAATGACACCATCAAAACTGAAAGGGATATCGGTACAATTAGTCAGAGAAAAATAAATAAATAAATAAATAAAAATAAAAAGGAAGCTCTATTTACCCCATAACAACAACAGACAACAAATAAAAGGACAATAAAGAACAGGTGGAACAGACAGCCAAAAATACTTTCTTAGTGACAACTCTGGAGTGTAAAGAAGAGCAGGAACACTGCATACATACATTGACCAGTCAATATAGCTACATCTTTCAGCATCTAAAACTGAAACTTTCCCTATTGTTTCCCACAATGAGCTCGCATTGCCATCCTCTAAAGCATAAATCTGCAAAAGAATTATTTCAAGACATTAATTCATTTGCATATTCCAAAGATTGTTTATCTATGCATGAAAAGTAAATTATAAAATCAAAAGCATGAAACCAAAAGCTTAAGACACCTAAAGTTAGAATACCAACTCAGAGAAAGAAGAAAAAATAAGAGGAGAAGAAGAGAATATGAAATGAGAGTATAAAAAGGATATGTGGGAACAAAAGAGTTGACAATATTGGATATGAAGTATGAACTCTGTTAAAAATATGTGCAAGTTAGAACCAAGAGAAAATAGAGTAAAGTAGTTCAGACATATTCAACAACACACTAGAATAAGTTTTAGTAGAGACCAAAAAGCAATAAGAGAGGAAGGGGAAGAAGAAAACTTACTTGGATAGAAGTTATTGAGAAAGATATGCCAAACTAAGGGATTAAGTTGGATTTAGAGTTAAAGATAACTGAAGGGTAAATGGAGAATGAAGAAATAGAACACCAACCAGACTGTGTTTTGGGCTTTCTTGAGTTGTGAAGAGGATGATAAGAAAAAATAATATCTGTTCATAATCTAAGCCCATAATGCAAAGATAGGAACATATGGGGTGATCTCACATTTCATCTTCTGCATCATGCCAGATCTATCTTATAGAAATCTATCTGCCAGTCTGGATTAGATGCCTAGGAAAGACTCTAATAGAGATAGCACATAAGTCTTTTTAAAATACTACTCCGTAATATTTAACATTTAAAACACTTCAAAAAGAAAATATAACAATGAATGCATCACTTGCATATAAGAAAGAAATTATTCGAAGAAATTACCTTAATCAGATAGCCCAATCCCTTTAAATTCTTCATCACAGTATATAGCATCAAGGACAGTTGATTTTTCTTCATATCTCCTAAGATCTTACATTATAAAAACAGATACTTATCACATTTATGAAGCAATGTTTCAGCAAAAAATACAGAAATGTAGTTCTGTAAGAAAAACACTGGACAGTGGATGATTGCATATCCTAAAATAGAACAAAATTAAAAGAAAGGAGTTACTTGTCGCAGAACCGTGTACATGCCAATATATATAGCAGAATTAACGCAATGCATTAAATTAATTTACTACCTTACCAAAATACACTCAGTGGTAACGTAATTACAATATATATATAGCATGATTTTCAAAATTTTACGCACTTCATTACTATATATAAGTATACAAAGATGCGCTATATACACTTATGGACAAACAGGTACAGCACTTACTAGACCAATACGCGGGAGCCGAACTCCGATCCTAGGCTGACTCCGGAGCCGATCAAGACCATTGCCAAACTTAAACCTCCGCGACGGCTTAAACTCCAGTGAGGTCCCTAACTTCAAGTCATCCCTAACATGCCACCGCCATCGCCCTCTCTCACTCCCCCCACCTTGTCTCAACGCCGACATGATGGAGCTCTGGAGCGCCATGGACGCCAATGCGAACATAAAAATCACGAAGAATATGCACAAATAGGACCAGGATTTGCCTCTGAACGAGAAGAACAAAAGCATCCTCCTGGTCAGGGACCGGTGGTGGTGAGATCGGCCGCCACCCGACGCCTTCCACTGCCGATCCGCGGCAGCGGCCGATGACTGCGGCCCTCTGGAGACGCGCGGGAGGGTGCTACTGGAATTAGGGTTCCGCTTGAAGCGAAAACGGTCGCGGATCGAGTGGAAGGCCTCGGAGGTAATGGCATGATTGCTATTGGTCTCTTCGTCGTCGGAACTTTCCGAGCTGTGGCCCATTTGTGAATCGCAGGCGAGCCGAGTTAACTCAGCTACACGAATTCAGAGCTGGATTAGCTCTGATTCACATCGAAATTGAATCGCAGAAATGCTCCTCGCCGCTCTGTTTCTTCGCTCCACTGCTTCACTCGGTTTTCTTCGCGAAGATATTGCAATTTTTATTAATATAAAAAATAAAAAATTTATATTTTGTTTGTTTGTTACGGAATATTTTATATTTTTAAAAAATAAAAAATAAAATAAAATAACAACTCCTTACTTCCTAATTATTTAGCTTTTTCATCTCACTTTTGGAAAATACATTTTCCAGTTTTTTTTTTTTTTTAAATCGCGAGGTGGTTCGCGTCGATCTCTGTCTATTTAAGGTCTACCTAATTAATTCTCATTTGTTTTGGGAAGCACAAAAACTGACACAAGGAGAATTGTCACTTGTAAAAATCACACTCAAATTATTTCAGAATTTTCTTTCATAAAAAAATTTTATTTACCACTTGAACTTGCCGTTAAGTTACATTTTCCAGTTTTATGTAAATTAAATTGGAAATATTTTATTTTTAAAATTATCTCACAGCAAAGCCAAAAGGTCAAAATCTGTTGAATTGTTTGTGCGCGTCGGTGATTCCTTTTAAAAGTACGACGTCGGTGATTGTATTTGGTCATCTTCCATTTGTAGATCCCAAAATTTGTAAGATGTTGAAAAATATTAATGCATTATTATTGTCGGGTAGATTTTATTCTATATATGAGCATATAGCTATTAATGTGCAATTCAATTATTAGCTTAGGCTTTTAGTTGAGATGAAGCACATGTTTCAATTTGATATCAGAGCCAGATCAGAGGGGTCTACGTGTTGTTTGGAACTCATCGCACCATCAGCATATAATCATTAATGTGCAATTCAACTATCAGCTTAGGTTTTTAGTTGAGATGAAGCACATGCTTCAATTCTATAATTTATAATTTATTTTAAATTATAAAGAATTATAACTTCTTTTCAGTAAAATATAAAAATATTAAAATAATAATTTATTTTGAAAAATTACTTTAAATAGCGTTTCAAAATAAATTAGTAATTAATAACTTTTAAGTTAAATGTTTTTTTTAAAAAAAAAAAGTTAATTTATAAATTAAATATGTCAAACAGAGCATTTATATATATGTTATTTTCTTTATCAAAATGTTGAATCTTCAATTCGAGCATTCAAAGAGGATGTAAATCACGGTGTTTTCTTCTATCAAAATGTTGAATATTCAATTCGAGCATTTAGAGAGGATGTAAATTATGGTGATCAATGACTCAACAGACAGGACAAAATACCATTACACATAAAAAATCTACTCATATTGGACATAATCTTCACATTGTCGCTGTTAATGTTTGAACGTTGATATTTTCTTTCAAATACTGTCTACTAAATATTGAGCTAAACTCGTGCGGACCGGGAGAATTGATGGTAGAGCTAATGGCATGGCGTATGGGCGTGGGACAACCTCATCCATCTAAGTATAGCATATGTTCAGGATGTACAACCTACCCTGTCAATCATATGGGATTAAAAACAGATTATGATCATCTAATATTGCACTTCATTTTGTTTCGGAGTATTTTGTTCATAAATTGTAGACTCACAAATTTTAAAAAGTTACCACTTTTACTTGTCATTTTGGTACATATAGGCCTAATAGTTGTTTTTTACTTAAAACTAGTATTTGCGCCCGTGCGTTGCACGGAATGAATTTGTTATAATATTTTATAAATATTTAGATCGATATACAATTGTATAAATTATAACATCGAATATTATATAATATAATTGAAGAATTGAGTTGCACCGATTATGTTTTCTGATGTTATCAATGCTTGAATTTGAGTAAATAATTGCCCAATTAATAGCTAACGTGTAGATATACGCATTCGGTGCTGCAACTTTAGAGATTTTATATATCAGTGTTTAGAATTTGTATTAATTGGGCTAATTAGCTCGTTGTCTAGCAATTCAGTTATAGAAATTATTTATACAGAAGATATATTTTCTATGTAGATATATAGCAATTTTGGCATCTTTATATATAAAAAACCATAATATCAATGACTTGAATTATACATTGTTGAAAATCTCTTTGTAGACAACATTGGTAGTAGTAACACAATTTTATCCATCCTCGTCTAGAGTTAAAATCACCAAACCATCAGGATGGGTGACTCGGGAAAAAGTCACATACAATTAACCGTGATTAAAGACTGATTTTTTCAGTAATAACTCAACGTGAGTTAGTGTTTGACCCTGACTTTTGTTGATAGTCGTGGCATATGCGAGCATCAACATGAGTTGTTTTCGTTAGAACTTGAAGGGCAATCTCGTATCAGAAGGGTGAAAGACATTTTAATTGAAGATTTTACTTTTATTAATAGTATAAATATAGATTGGTGTCAATAATAATTAATAAATTATTATTTCCTTATAAAATTACATAAAATTTCAAATGGATTTTCTCATTTATTACGCAGAATTTGTTTATGTTATTCTTACAATTATAATGGTTTAATTATTTTCAAAATTTGATAAACATTTTTCTTTTTTAAGTTGACTTTAATTTGTGATAAAAATTCATTAGATATTGGTTAATTTTCATTTAAAATTTTGTTACCAATTAAGCTTTATTAATTTTTTTTATCAATTAATTAATATTCACATTAATGTGGGCGGAAATGTTGAAGATGTGAATTTTACTTTTATTAATAGTATAAAGTAAATAATAATTAATAAATTATTATTTCTTTATAAAATTACGCAAATTTCGAACGAATTTTCTCATTTGTTACGCAGAATTTGTATCCATTATTTTCACAATTATAATAATTTAATTATTCTCATAATTTGGTAACCATTTTCTATTTTTATGTACATATTGACTTTAATCTGTGGTAACAATTCATTAGATATTAGTTAATTTTTATATAAAATTTTGTTACCAATTAAGCTTTATTATTTTTTTACTAATTAATTAATATTCATGTTAATTTGGGCTGAAATGTTGTAAATGAGGATTTTACTTTTATTAAAGTCATTTCACTAAGAACCTGGAGCTTGTGGTTGAGTGGAAGGGACACATCCATCCTTATTAACCAAAGGTGAGCAACTTTAAATCTCTAGGCCAAAGCATAAATGATATTGCAATAATTAATTTATTTATGATCATTGGTTCACATATTTGATTTATTTATTTTTTTTTTAATTATTCTCGTTGTAAACATAAATGATATTGCAATAATTAATTTATGATATTTAGCAAGTTGTATTTTTTTTTTAAATATAAAATTTTATCATGTTTAGGGATTAAAAAATATTTTAGAATTATTTTTATTAGTAAGTAATTTTATTTTTAAAATATTTTTCAGCAACCCAAACACTCCATTAGTCTATAATAAAAAAAATGAAAAATAAAATAAAGTTATTTCATTAAGAAAATTAAAACTAATTAAAGTAAATCTAATCATGCTATATTTATTTGTAACTGTATATTAATTTCATTTTGAAATGAGTGGTTAATATCTTTGAATTATTTTTTTTTTTCAACTATTATAAACAAAAATTATGATACTTATCAAATTGTATTTAAAAAAAAAAAAAACATTTACACATGTTATGAGGGATTAAAAAATATTTTAAATTATTTTTTATTAGTGTGCATTTTTATTTTAAAATATTTTCCAGCAATCCAAACACTCCCTTAGCGTCTCATCAAGAACGGATAAAGAAAAGTCATTTCATTAAGAAAATTAAAACTAATTAAAATAAATCTAATCATGCTACATTTATTTGTAACTCTACATTAAGTTTATTTTGAAATATTTGGTTCACATATTTGAATTATTTTTTTTTCTTTAACTATTATAAACAAAAATTATGATATTTATCAAATTGTATTTTTTAAAAAAATATAACATTTACACATGTTATGAGGGGTTAAAAAATATTTTAAATTATTTTTATTAGTATGCATTTTATTTTAAAATATTTTGCACTAATCCAAACACTTCCTTAGCCTCCCATAAAAAATTGATAAAGAAAAGTCATTTCATTAAGGAAATTAAAACTAATTAAAGTAAATCTAATCATGCTATATTTATTTGTAACTGTATATTAATTTCATTTTGAAATCATTGGTTCACATATTTCAATATGTTTTTAATTATTATAATTTATAAACAGAAATAATATTGTACTAATTAATTTATGATATTTATCAAATTGTATTTTTTAAAAAAATATAAGATTTACACATGTTATGAGGGATTAAAAAAATATTTTAAAATTATTTTTTATTAGTAAGTATTTAAAAAAAAAATCACCAACTCAAACACTCCCTTAGTCTCCATAAAAAAACTGATAAAGAAAAGTCATATCATTAAGGTAATTAAAACTAATTAAAGTAATTGTAATCATGCTATATTTATTTGTAACTATATATTAATTTCATTTTCAAATCATTGGTTCCCATATTTGAATTATTTTTTTTCCTTAATTATTATAAACATAAATAATATTGTACTAATTAATTTATGATATTTATCAAATTGTATTTTGTAAAATATAGCGTTTTACCGGGAAAATTTTTTGTTGTTATGAATTTAAAATGAAAATAAAAAAAAATAAAAAGATATTAAAATGTACAATATAATAATATAGTTGGATTTTTATATATTTGGTCAAGTACCTATTTTCATAACATACAAAATTAAATTTTAAATATTGTATGGTTAATATAATCTCTAATCATGTACATATTTAGATAAATTTATAGAAAAAATTTATAAAATTAAATTGATTTATTCCAAATTGTATTTCATATATATTATAATTCTAAAAAATATGAATAATAATAATTAAGAGAATTGTACTTAAAAATCAATAAAAATGTAAATTCTAAATTTTGTATGAATAAATATAAACTCTAATCAGAGGTATATCATTATCTCTATATCTCTATCTCTATCTCTATATATATTAAAGCAAAATGGTTGACACAAATTTTTTCCCCAAAACGTAAGGACATTTTTGTAATATCATTTATTATTATTATTATTATTATTATTATTATTATTATTATTATTATTATTATTATTATTATTATTATTATTCATTACCCTATTGTGGTGGCTGGCAATCCAATTAATATGTCATTATTTACCTATTGATTACGCTCCAATTTTTATTTGACTCATTATTCTGGCTGGTAATCCTCTCCATAATTAGTGGCAATCCTTTCCATATAATTACTATTTATATTTAACTTATATTATGCTGGCTAAATAATGAAAAAAATATATTTCCATAAAATAAAATATGTCAGCACTTATCTAAATAATTACTTACTCAATAATTATTTATCCTCTCCATATAATTAGTTCCGTATTGATTATAGAAATTATAGAAATTTAAATTATTATTAATTAGTGAATTTTTGGTATCATTTTCCTTTTTAGTTAATTTGGTTTCCTTTTCTATGTTTTTTACTGTTAACAAATTATTAGTATTAATCTCCTTTTATATTTTCCTTTTTAAGCTAATAATTTATATCCAAAATTATTGTACATTTATTTTAGTTTCATTTCCTTTTCTATTTTTCCTACTTTTATTCCTAACAAATTATTAGTATTACTCTCCTTTTATATTTTCATTTTTTACTGCTAATTAACCTTATTATTACTATTATTATTATTATTATTATTATTATTATTATTATTAACTGAATCCCGTTTTCATTTCTTTTTTTTCTACTGGTAATATTATTATTATTATTATTATTATTATTATTATTATTATAGTAATTATTATAGTAATAATAATTCGTTATTATAGTATAGTATTTTAAATTAAATTATTTAAATTAAATCACCCTATATATTTAAATAGATTACCATAAAGTTACCATAATAATTACACAAAATAATGAAAGAAAAATTATGAGAATAATTACCCTTAATAAAAATTAGGAAATTATATTAAAAAATAATGAATATATTATGGTAAGTATAATCTATTTTGTGCGAATCATATTATATATTAAGTATAAAAATATATATGTATGTAAATTACCATAATAATTACACCAGAAAAGGTGACAATACATAATTATTAGGCAATAATATTAATAATTAATTATTAAGGCAGGTAAAATTGATTTTGTACTAATAATATTATACATTAATTACTAATAATATTGTACTAAAAGCCGTGAGTCTATATAGTACAAATCCTTTCTTAAAAGTTAAAAAGGACAACCCCGAAAGCATTGGGTGGCTGCTAACTGTCAATCACCTTGCTTTTATTTTTTATTTTTTATTTATTCTAGGAAACCTTAAAAAAAAAAAAAAAAAAAAACTTGTACCAATAATTTTACTCTAATCATCCAACCATGATATACGACATAGTACAATGTGGGGGAAACGAAATAGGTTTGAGATGACTGCATTCTTTGTATTTAACAAACTATAGCATGACATCATACATCAGTCGTGTACTAAATTAAAAAAGAAAAAGAAAATATCAAGATGGTCACAATAGCAAGCACTCAAAGGATAGGGAGCTACACAATCCTTATTTGTCTTGCATGGCAAATCATTCTTCTTCTTTGCTTCATCACCACTCCAAATACCTACAATCATTATATCAACTCACAATATTAGAGTTTTCACACATCTAATAAACATGTATGTTCTCTCTTATATATTTTTAATGTAGACTCTTAAAATATATATATCATTGTGAAGTTGAAGATCTGATTTTACCGTCGTTATTATTCTCGATCGTATCTCTACAATCTTTCATAAAAACTAAACCATTAGGGTTCTATTACCAAGGCTCTTCCTCCTCAATTTTCTTTTGTTGAAGCAGAGCATCCTTACGTATCTTCAATCTCATACCAGACGATATAACCTGCAAAACCTATTGAAGTACTGGAGAATATAGTTAGAAAAATATAATAAAAAAAAATCATACGAAAAGAAAGCAGAAAAATAAGTCTGAGATTCTTTGATTGATGGGGGAGGCTAGAGATTAGAAGAATTATAAGTTTGTATTTATAGGTAGAAAATACTAATTCAAAAGGAAAGAATAATAATTTATTTATTTAAGGTAATGTTGAGGTAATAACATTATTATTATTATTATTATTATTATTATTATTATTATTATTATTATTATTATTATTATTATTACAAAAATGCCACTAAATTTTGGGGAGAAAACTTGGTAGGAGGATTTTACTTTTATATATATATAGATTATTATTATTATTATTATTATTATTATTATTATTATTATTATTATTACAAAAATGCCACTAAATTTTGGGGGGAAAACTTGGTAGGAGGATTTTACTTTTATATATATATAGATAATGAGTAAATATCTGAAATGGTCCCTCGACTATAGCTAAATTCACAAATTGGTTATCGATTTTCAATTTCAACCAATTAAGTCCTTAACTTTGTAATTTTGACACAATTTGATCCTCTGTCTATTTGACCGTTTGTTGACTGTGATTTTCGAGGATATATATGTAATTTCATGGTCCATCGTCGGTTTTTTAAGGTTTTGGTTGCATTTCCAGACCGCATTATTACATTTGAATCCAGTGCCGAAAGCAATCTACCAAATCCGGTCGCCTTTCTTCATTCTCCATTTGGATTCAATGTAGTTGAGTTCGTACCAGAGCAAAGAAGACGACGTGTTTATGAACCAGTGCAACGTCATCCTGGAGGCCTCCACGTGCTCCGACGAGAGCTGAAGGTTCTTCTGGAGATCGTCGATCACGGTCAACAAACGGTCAAATAGATGGAGGACCAAATCATGTCAAAATTATAAAGTTAATGACTTAATTGGTTGAAATTGAAAGTCGAGAACCAATTTGTGAATTTAGCTATAGTCGATGGACCATTTTGGGTATTTACTCTAAAATAATTGTTCATTAAGAACCAAATGGCTTGTGGTCCACTGGTACTCGGTCACTCCCTTAAGTGGGAGGTGATAGGTTCGTACCTCAGTTGAGGTAAGTAGTGCCCTAGGATGTAGGGTATCCCCTTCCTTATAATAATTAAAAAAAAAAAATTGTTCATTAAAATGCTAGCAATGAAATTGGCATCAGCTGTTATCATGCCTGTTATCGTAATTTTACCAGTAACAACTATTACAACTTTTTAAAAAATTCATTGGGCTAATTATTATTTTTGTATAAAGTTCGATAGTCTACTTAGCCCTTTTTCATATATTGTTTAAAAAATGACTATTTAAAAAAACACTTCATAGATAAAAACCACCGCTTAGTAAATAATTGATGAACAAAAATTAACCGTAGATCGATATTATTGAAGGGATGAAAAATGTTATTTCTCTATAATCTAAGAACAAATAGTGTTTATTTCCTATTTTCTTTCTCATCCAAACATAACATGAAACAAACAATTATGTTCATATTATTTTCAATAGTAAAAGCGGTAACCTATGGTCATGTTTTATGTGTATATCACCTACAAGGAAAGAACTTATTCAAACTATGACCAAATCTACAATCACATATAATTGTGATTCCTTCTAACAACTCCAACGGTGCATCTCTTTTCAAGGCTTTCAGTCTTCAACTGGAAACGTGTCGAGAAACTGTCTAACTGTGAGCCGTTCGTTCTGTGTAAGATCGGGGTCAGCATCTGCCAGCCTTTTACGAGTTGCTGCGCTTGTACTATTTGGGTTCCGGTCGAAAACCTGCAGGATATGTTAGTAAAGAAAAGAACTATGTCTAACAACTTCACTCAAATATCATTGTGCAGTGGAGTACTCTTAGCTATCGAGCATCAAGAATGCATGAGATTGGTTAATTTCAACACTAAAGGCGTGATTTCTAGAGATCGTATAGGGTTATGCACTCCCCGTGTGTGAGGATATTGGTTCATTTTGACACTAAAGGCGTGATTTCTAGAGATCGTATAGGGTTATACACTCCCCGTGTGTATATGATATGTGTAGGAAGAGGCAAAAGCAAAAGAGGAATAGAGCCTCACATTCATGCAGTTGTTGACATTTCCATCCTTGTTTGGAGAAGTGACGGGCTCAAACCTATTGTAAACCCATTCTCCATCAACGATGTACTTGTACTCGTAATATCCTTCCTGTTTAAACGACAAATTTCAAAGTTCAATAAACTTTAGACAACAATAGGTTTCGCCTTTTCAAAGTTATTACATTCATAAATAAAACCAAATTAAAAAATAATAAAATTAATAACTTACTGGCAATTCCTTCCTGAGAATCCATAAACCTCGATATTCATCAAATTTTAATGGTAATCCCTGAAAAGAAACTGCAATAAGAGATCTCGTAGAGTATATGGTAACAAATAAAATCAACTAAGTATGCAAATTACTATTGAGTCGTAAACTTTTAGCAAAACGGGGACTTGAGTATCACCTGGCCCCAACCAATATCAAGTCCAGATATTTCCACTGTCGAACAATCATCACCATACCATGTCAATATGATCGACTTCTTTTTAAGACCTGTAAGCTTTTAAACGGGAGGAAACTTAGTTAAAAACCGATCAAATTTAGAATTTTCGCAATCAACACCGAGTCACAGCAGAAGTATATGTCGTAGACTGGATAAGAAGCACCATTATGGCTGTGACAAACTGAAAAAGATTCCGGGACTCACAATATCAGCCGTGGCACTTTTTATGGCATCCAATTTTGGACAGCACGAGCGCTTACTCTGATAAGAGAGAAACAGTGTTTTGAATTTATAAAATTTTCTGTATAGAATTGAAAATCTTAAATAACAATGAAATAGAAAGAGAAAGATTCAACATTTGGAAATATTACATTCCCGTGATAAATGGTAGAGAAAAATCCTACCAAGAGTAAATCATAAGCTTCGCTAAGTTTATATCCTTGAACCCAAAACATATACGATAACTGTAATTCAAAGAGTCAAACCGAATATTAGTGCTAGGCATGAAAGAAAGCTTCAGATCTTCTAGGCGAAAACCTAACGTTAACAACTTGATCTTGTCAATCCAAGAAGTAATGACTCGGGAGTCAGGACATAGCTATGTGTTAAGAGTCCCACATTGATAAAATAAGAGAGAGAATATATGGATTTATAAGGCTATGGATTAGACTAGCTAACTGGTTGGATTCAATCTTTTAGTGTGATTTATAACATGGTATCAGAGCCTATATTAAAGAACTGATACCGCAACTGCAGGTGCTCTTCCAAGTCCAGCAGTGCAATGTATGTAAGTTACGCCCCCATTTTCATTGATAGCCTTATGCAATTTGCTAACTACAGCTGGAAGTCGCATCCGCAAATTAAAAGCATCAAAATCCCTGCATAATTAAGCACCGGTTAGTTAACTAAGAAGCATCACCGGACCACACATTTACTAAATAATACTAACCTTATTTCAGCACGTAAGTGTTGAATGTCACCGCATTTATTGGCATACTCACGAATAGCACCAATATCAACGTCAAAGTATCTGAAAATTTCTAATTAAGGCCTTCAACAAAAAGAAAAGTAGCGTGGATAGCAGTGTAAAGACATCAGAACTAATATTTTGGATACTCGAGATCTGAATTCTGCTGTAAGCAAAAAATAGTTTTCACTCCTATCTTGCGAAGCTTGTCAACATCCTTGGGAGTCTGCCATTAGAGGTAGAATAAAGAGAAGTCGAAAGATTGCTGATTTAATGGATGGTAATTCATACATATCAAAGAAATTTGAATCACCTGTAAGCATGACCCGACAATCAAATCTGGACGGATAAAGTCATAGTTCATTCCAAGTTCATGTCTATAGGTCAAGACTGCAATTATTCCGGTTAAAATAAGTTAGAAGAAGAATGATCAGCAAACAAATTAAACAAGAGATTCTGATAGATGCAACATTTGTTAATATAAGAAAGCACGTCCAAAGGGTTAAAGAAAACCAAACCAAATAACCAATATGTGCATCTAATAGCTAGTCCACCTATCCACGCGGAGATTTGTATGAAGTATTCATATTACGTGTGGTTCACATTTGAGTAAGATTGACTTACCGGCCCCCATTGCTTCAGTCATGTTAATACTGTAAGTGTCAGACTTTTCATCAACTTTGACACCTTCCTTTCCGGTACTGGATTTAGAACCAGATATAGCCTGAAAGAATAGTTTACCAAGCAAAACTATGGCCCCTGATCATGGGATTAAACAAAGGGATAACATATCTGAATTCACTAGCGATTCTCAGTAAAGTGTTGGGATTAGGATGAACGCTTTACTGGTTCAAAGTCCATGAGTTAGGACTAGCTAATTGGTTGGATTCAAATAAACATATAGGGAGTATAAAAACGACACCCTCAAATCTCATTGAGTTAAAGGTGAGATCTTGACAGTGTTTAGCACTTTAGCCCGCACAAGATGGTAGATTGTGGGTAAGGACACAGATCGAGCCCCGACAGCCACAGTGTGGGAGCCACACCCAATATGGTGGGCCCTTGTGGGCACGGGGCACTAGTCTTCGCACCAAATGGGAAGATGAGTCACCCTAAATTTATGAATGAAACCCCCCATATCAATTACAGAGCAGTAAATTTCATCATTTATGAGAGAATGCTGATCATATATATATATATATATATATATATATATATATATATATATATCAGGTTCCATTTATGCATCAAGAAAACTTCTAATAAAAACTTATTCACCCATTAATATAATGATTCAAATTTTACCTGTGCCACAATGCGAAAACCATGATCTGCAGCTTTCACCACTCCCTGGAATAAAAATTTTCCCAAAGATTTGTTTTTTTTTTTCAAATTGATCATCTAAGAACACCAATATCAAGAAATATAAGTAAAGATTACCGGTGTGGTATTAAGCGAGAGTGGTGGCGAAAGCTTTCTCGTAGTGGCGGTGAAGCTTTGCAGTGGCAGAGAAGACGATCTGACAAAATTTACAGAAAATTAGCATTGCACATTACGAGGTAAAAATGACAGTAATTTATAATATAACAAAATAGTGGGATTTAAACAGACCCAATAAAATGATTCTGAAGGCAAATCATTGTGATTATGTATAGCTCTAGCGGATGGGAAGCGGCGCGGGGTGGCGGTTTACGATTTACGAGTATTATTTCGTGAGGTCTGATGACTGGGAAGCTCTACCGAGCTGGGCTTAAACCAATCTGCATTGATATCTTACGTTATTGAAATCTAGAAATCGATGTTTGGGATGGAGAACTCCCTTCCAATTATTTTACAAATGCCACCATGTTTTTGTATTTTGCAGTTGTCAAAGAAAACAAATTCAAGAATTGCAAGTTTGCAACCCAAAATATCCATTGAATTAGCAAATTTCAGTTAATTATTTTTTAACCAACAAATTTAGATTTCATTAATGGTTAATAAATTTTAAAAATTTTAGTTATTGGTTAATTAGGTTTGAAAGTGTGGGTTAATCAAATTTTTAATATAATATAATTAGTTTGGTTGGTGCGAGTGGATGTGCACTCTTGTTCATTAAGAGAGATAGGAAGTTTGAATTTCCTGGAAAAATAGCATTTTGTCCTTTAATTGGGTCGACTTAGTGCGAACGAGGATTAGTCTGAGTATGGTACGGGTTTAAAGGTGTCTCTTACAATTAGGCCCTACTCAGAACACCTCGTGGTCTGACTAAAAAAAATTAATAGGGAAAGGGGTCAAATAGGCCCCTGAACTTTATTCGAAAATACAATTAGGCCCTTGAACTTCAAAGATGTACAATTAAACCCTTAAACTTATCATTTTAGTGCATCCAAACCCAATTACCGATAATTTACCTGAAATAGCCAATCATCAAAATTCCGGTGACAATTCCGACCAATATTTCGGCGATATTTTGAATTAAAAAAATTCGGCGCCGGTCGTTGGAAGATGACTGGACAGCGGCCTTCTCTATCGGAGAAGACGACCAGACGGTCGTCGTCTTCTCCACTAGAGAAGGCAGCCAGACAGTCGTCTTCTCCATGACCTGACAGGTCGGTCTTGAACTAATGGAGAAGACAACCAGACTGGTGCCTTTTCCAGTGGAGAAGACAACTGGTCTAGTTGTCTTCTCCAATGGAGAAGGCGGTCATTCGGTCGTCTTCCGATAGCCGGAATTCGACGATCGTCGTCGTTTTTTTTTTTTTTTTTTTTTTTTAACTCAAAAAATCTTTAGAATTTTGGTTGGAATTGTTGCCAGAATCTTGATGACGGGCTATTTTAGGTAAATTATCGGTAATTGGGTTTGGATGCACTAAAATGATAAGTTTAAGGGTTTAATTGTACATTTTTGAAGTTCGAGAGCCTAATTGCACTTTCGAATAAAGTTCAGGCATCTATTTGACCATTTTTCCCATTTAATAATGATGGCCTATTTGATCATTTTTCCCTAAAATGTATTATTCTCTAACTGAGCTTGTGCGAGTAGCACGCGTGAAATGTAGGATACTATGAATGAGTATTGCATTCCTTTCATTAAATATCTTATGTCTTGTCAAAGACAAGACACCATATACATCAAACTCACTAAGAATAAGTGGAATATAATGCCACTGAGAAATAGTGGAATGCCATTGAGAAGTATGAACGCAGGACTGATCTGATTAGAAACCTTGACGTTCAAGCGTGCCCCATACCAAATGATGGCTTCGCCATCTTCAACCATTTCAGTGGGAAACCCAATTATTCATTCATTTCCTAAGATCAGAACCCACAATTCAACTCCATAAACAAACAAAGCTTCTAACTTAGCTTGCATAGGAATCTTAATTGTTTCGTCGTACTCAGGACGGAGTCAGAGGGGGCTGCCCCTCCCCATCACATGTATAACCTTTGTATATATATATAGTACAAGTGTTAGTATTAATATAAAAAAACATATGAATGTTAACATAGACTTCCTTAAGGGAGCAATCGGATACCAGTGGACAAGGACCTTGATTGAGTTAACATGAATGCACATGGCCAAGACTGACAGGCCCTATCATTGAATAGTGTGTTTTCCTCGTCATTAAAAAAAAAAAAAAAAAGACAGCAATGGAGATTCCACTTTGATGGAAACTACTTCATTCATGCCCATTATATATATATATATATATATGCAAGTCAACTAGCAGTAGCATATATAATGAATGGTGTATCAGTCAAAACAATGTCTGCAGACTGATCCTGATCCTCACTCAGCTCACTGTTCTCGAATTGTCATTCCAAACCGTGTTGACCAAGACTTATCCACCTGATGATCTCCTGCTCAATCCATTGCATGATTCATCCTTTCATCACTCACATGTCAAGTCCCAAGATGGCCTCAACTGTGTTCATCTGCCTCTCAACTGTTCTTTCAAGAAACTGGAAAGCAAGAGCTCATGCAACTAGCTAAGACACTAACCACTACAGTGAGCCAATCTTTAAGGTTTCCAACATTAATGGAAGCCAAAAGCCAAGAGGGTTTGGTTCTGGGGTTCATGTTCCATGGACAAAGATCATTAGCTAGTAACTAATAATCAAGTAGTTTTACTAATTTGGGATTAAAGTGCACTTATTGTATGTTAGTTCCCATTAATTTGAGTATCATAATTAGGCAATTCAAGTCCACTCCAGGTCTCCAGCAAACTGCTAAAAAGATATATAGTTTCTTGCACTTTTTGCACTTTTACTAGAAGCTCTGCACTGTCATCAAACTTACATCTTGCTACTGAGCTTCTGCATATAAATACATCTCACAAAGACCATCTGTGGTGCCAAAGAAACAAAACATTCTAAATATGGGAGCTTTAACCTTAGGATCTCCAATGGCTGCAGGAATAATTAGTTGTATGTCCAGAAAGTGGATGGTGTTGGAGGTCCCTACTGAGAATAATGGCTGTTGTGGATTTCCATCTTTCCTTCCTAAGGAAGTTCACAGAATCAAAGACCCTTTTGCCAGAACTTTGGCTCAGAGAATCCAGAGGCTTCCTGTCCAGGTCAGTCCTAAAAGTTTTTGGGGAAAATAAGGTAATCTCTGGAGTAAGTTCTGTTGACATATATTATATTATGCAGGTTGGACTGTCTGAAGGGTGTATAATGAGTAGTTGTGTGAAGCCAAAGATACAAAACGGCGGCGCAAATCCAGTGGTTCTTCTCCACTGTTTTGACAGGTTTCACACTTTTCTGCAATCTTTAGTTAGTATCATTATATTCTGCACTTTATTGCAGTTGTGGTTTTGGATAGTGACCATTTGATTGATAGCCTGTGACTAAGATTTTTTGTCACATCATCCAAAAATAGAATCATAAAAGACTGCACTTAATGCCTTAAAGCCCTTAACCATCACCTTTTTGAATTGGCTTAATCCTATTTTTCAACTTTTTGGCTATGAAATGGTTATTGGTCTTCTGTTTTACATGTTTTTATCTCCAGTTCTTGCCTGGAATGGAGGTGTGCATATCCCTTGCTTGAGGAAGCTGGCTTAGAGGCCTGGGCCATAGATGTTCTTGGATGGGGTTTCTCTGATTTAGGTTAACTCGAAATCGCATCAGATCATATATAATTTCTCATCTGACTTATGTCTTATGTTATAATGGTTTCATGTTTTCTATGTTGTATCCATTTTTACAGCAAGGCTTCCTCCTTGTAACTCAGCATCAAAGAGATACCACTTGTACCAGGTAAAACCAGTCGAAAACAATCCAAATTTCCTGATTTTGTATCCTAAACAAGTGTTTCTAAACCATCTGATCTTTCTGATAACACCATATATATATATATATAGCTCTGGAAGGCTCACATCAAACGACCGATGATACTAGTTGGCCCGAGCCTTGGTGCTGCAGTTGCAATCGACTTCGCTGTCAATTTCCCAGAAGCTGTAACAAATACTATTTTCGATCTGCTGACTTAATTTCAATATCTTTTTGGATGAAACACAAAAAGTTGTTTTTGCAGGTTGATAAATTGGTTTTGATCAATGCAAGCGTTTATCTGGAAGGCGCGGGATTTTGGACAAAGCTGCCAAGAATGATGGCTTATGCTGCAGTATTTACTCTCATTTCTAAAAACTAAAACTTTATACCTGTTAGAATGAATAATCAGTAAATTATGTATCGCTAAAAACGGTGTCTTGATGATTAGGCCTCTCTGCTGAAGAGCATCCCGGTAAGGATGTATGCAAAACTAATGGCTTTTGATGGTATATCGCTGTCTACCTGCATCGATTTGACTGAGGTAAGCCGGCTGCACTGTCTGTTACCTTGGTGGAAAGATGCCACTGTTAACTACATGCTCAGTGGGGGGTATAATGTTGTTGATCAAATCAAACAGGTACCTTAAAAAACATTATTCTTAGTCTGTCTGTTTCCATTCGTGATTCGTTGCCAGCTTATTCTACTAACACGGTCTTGTCACCGTAGGTGAAACAAGAAACTCTCATCATCTGGGGTGCCTGCGATAACATACTCAGAAAGGAGCTTGCTCATGTCAGTGTTCTTTTCTTTTTTCTGCAGATATTTGAACTTAAATTTGCGTTATTTATGTGATGATGAGTGGATTGTTTTCGGGGGGCGTTTTTGTGCAGAGATTGAGAAGTGAGTTGCCCAATGCGATTGTGAATCTGATCCCAAAATGTGGCCATCTGCCCCATGTTGAGAAGCCGGAATCAGTGGCAAAGCTGATTGCAGAGTTTACAAATGGCAAAAAGGAGGCATCTTTTCTTTAGTTTAGCATATTTTAATTGTGTTCATCTTAAGCTGTAATAAAGTTGTATGGTTTGAAATTGTAAAAGAAGTGGGCTGAAACCCAGAAATCCAAACATGATTAAATTCCAGAAAAAAAGTGTTGTATTTTTCAGAAGTCAATAGACAAACAAGCCCAGATTCTCTGCAAATCTTGAGGTGAAACTGAAACATTGGCAGAGTTTTCTGTGTTTTCTCCATCAAGAAACATCTCCCTCAAATGATTCCACTCTTGAATCAGCCCTTCCACTTTAGCATTCAATCTTGCCACACACTCTCTGATGTTCATACCTTCTGCACTTCTTTCTTGCAGTTCAACAACTTCACCTCTGGTTTTCTCTACCTCTTCTACCCAAGCTTCGATTTCGCGTTTCCTCTTCTTCTTCTTCTTGTTCTTCCCAGCTTCCATGCCCACTGTGAAGCTGTTCAGGATCTCCAAATTCCTCTGCAGATCATCCATACACCCACTCCGAGCCTCGGAGATAGAGTCTGCAGAATCAACCTCCATATCCATCACTCACAAGCTTATGCTATGATTGAAACTGAAAGAAAATCCAATTACATAAACAAAAAACCAAAGAGAGAGAGAGAGAAAGATGGTTTTGAAGAAGCAATCTGTACAAGATAACTTTATTTATCACCATTTTGCAGAAAGCATACAATTCAAAGTCAACCATGCCCAAAGGATAGATTGTTTATCTTGGAAAGTAAACTAGTTGACAATACTTATTTTACAGTTTGTTTCTGTTTCATTTACCTAACCTCGCTTTACGTGACGCAGATCAAATTTTTTTTCTGCAACTGTCAGGAAAAAAAAAAAACAAAAAAACAAGAACAGCACAAACAACCAGGATGTGTTCATTGAACAGAAACAAAAAACCTTAACAATGTTTTGAGACAAAAGAAAAGCTGTTAATAGTTAGGCTACAAGTAGTTGAAATGAGTCTTTAGGTTACTAACTGTCTGCAAAAAGTTTTCTGGTTCTATAACATAATAGCCTGAATACAGTCTGTTAAAAATCTCGGAATATATTGAAAGAACATGGATCCAAACGATCCCTGGATCGATAAGATTGTGTATTCCAAATGTCCAAACATGATTCAGTCTTCAGATGTCTGTTGGTCTCGAGGATGGATCGGGGAAGTTCCAAAAAGACTGGGATTTCTGGAAGAATACGTAAAATGCAACAGCTGATGCTAAGAACATTCCCAGGAGTAACAGATAAAGCTGCCATTCTGCAATGACAGAAAGGAATACGATCAATCTCAGATTCTGAAATGGAGAGAGAGAGAGAGAGAGAGAGAAAGGCACCTTTCCATTCTGCAGGAAGACTTAACTTGGTTACCATTGCCCCCCATTCAGCTGATGAAGTAAGAACAACCCTGAAATCGACACAATTTGAAAATACTGAGGTTAAGTATCCTAGTACACAATGCCCCAAAAAACACGACATTTGGAAAGAGGTTCTCTTTGATTTACGGGAAAGCACACAACTTTCCCGTCAAAGGAGCATTAAGAGGTTCTCTTAAGTCTATGCAAGATTGCAACATACCTTTCACTAGGACAAAACTCCAAGGATGCAATGTTTGAGCCCGAGTGAAGTCTCTTACTCGAGTGGGAAACCTCCATCTTTTTCACTTCAATAGTACAAACATCCCCATCTTTGCTTCCACTGCATTTCCATAAATCGAACACAAGCACAATTTTTGTTTTGCTCGAGACGATGATGATACTCAACAAACGCTCCAATTACAGATAATCATACTTACATGGCAAGGTATTTCCCATCTAAACTAACTGACATTACGGAAGCTGGCTTTTTCAGAAGACTTTTATGCCCAATTTTCTTCCACTCACAAATATCCCAGACAGCAATCACCGTCTTATCACCTGTTCACAGCCATAAGTAGGATCAGATCAAAACAAAACAAAAAGGCCGGGAAAGTTGAAGCATGTGCTCCATCTCAACTAAAAGCCTAAGCTGATAGTTGATTGCACATTAAGCTCTGATACCAAATTGAAGCATGTGCTCCATCTCAACTAAAAGCCTAACTAAAAGTCTAAGCTCATAGTTGGATTGCACATTAATGGTTATATGCTCAACAGGGAAGACTGCATATATTAAAGTCTGCATTTTTACCATACCCTTTTGGACAGTGCAAAACAAGAATGGCTTTGTTCCATCTTTAGAAAAGCGACAAAGTCCAAACTTCTCGTCCTGCCAATATACATCAAAATCCTAAGAGAATGAGGGAAACACTCTGTATCAAACTTAGGAATTAGGTACTAATTGATGTTAAACGTACAGGGTTTCGTGCTAGAGATGACACCGGAATACCATCACTTGTCTTCCATATTCTCGCTGCACCATCAGTAGATGTTGAAGCTAAGAACTCGGAATCTAAGCTGAAAATATAAAAGGGGAGAATGCAACAATCACAACAATCCAATCCTTTATCCAAAAAGATAGTTATGAAAAGATATCCTTAAAGATGCTTGAAAGTGCATTCAATTCAGTCACCTAAAATCCATATCTTGAAATGACTTGTGAGCTCCTGGTTCATCTACAATAATGTGCATGTTTGGCCACTCATAGAGTCTGAAATGTCCATCCTTCAAGTTTAACAAGGGAAATGTCAGATGATGGATAAACTATAGTCATCTATAATACTATAAGGTTCCAAGTTTGACTTTCCGTGGAAATTGTCTATTTTACGCCGATCAGCTATGGGCAACCTAGACTAGAATCACAAGACGGGTTTTGTCCAGAATGTATACAAATATAGGAATATTAAAATTCACTTACAACACCACCAGCAGCCAATCTAGATCCATCAACACTGAAGGCCAAGCACTGTTGTGGACCAACATTTTGGAGATGAATTAAGTATTTACACGAAAGTTTTAGGTTATCTTCCCGACCATACAACTCGAACAATCTGCACATAAAACCAAATATTTTGTCTATCAACTTGTAGTGTCACAACCAAACTCAAAAAAAAAAAAAAAAAAAAAAAAAGGAGCCATTTTTATTCATTTTAGAGAGGAAAGAATGCTGACTTGCAACCAGTGGTAGTAGAGCAAACGACGACGTCTCCACTGGGATGCACCGCAATGCTCACAGGTTCACATTCTCCTTCAAACGCATACTTTGCCTGATAAGTTTTCCGGTCATCATTAAAATTTCACCAATTTCTAGCCATAAAGATTGCATTTTTATGTTGCAGGAATGGTAATACATGAAGGGAAAATGAGTGTGGGCGAACCTTTGGAGAAGGAGAAAGCGAAGTAGTTTTGGGATGGAAGGAAAAAATCTGCAGCGAAGAAGGGTTGGACTTTCCGATGACCACCAGGTGAGCGTTCTCCGGCCGTCTGATCCACGACGCACACGCCACTGTCCCCTCCTCCACCGGCGCTTTCCCATTGTCCATTATCCCTCCCTCAAACTAATAAACCTCCGACGCCCACGCAATCTTGAATGCACAGAGGTACCAACTGAGGAAGAAGATAAAGGCTGTTAGTTCCTTGTAGGAGTTTAGTTTTTTTTTTTTTCAGGTGTTGAACGTCATTTTCGATCTTGCCAATGTAAGACAAACTGGTCGTGGTATACGATGAGCAGACCGCCGACTTTTGTTTCTTTGCCCGGACATACGTCGCACTGAAATGGTCAGCAGTTTATGAAGCATATATATATATATAATACGGAGTATATAATATATAATATATAAATGTACAATTCAATTATCAGACTTTTAGTTAAAATGAAACACATGCGCATCAAAGTTAACTCCATACCAAAAATCATGAGTTCGATAATTCACAGTTAAAAAATATTAGCAAAAATTAAATTCATAATTTGTGTGTACAAAAGTAATGGTCCACCCGTTCAATTATCCCTTTCGTGGCAATAAATATTGTTATATTTTATTATTAATGAAATATAATATAATTGTATTATTATGACCATATTTTCTGGTTTGGAACTGTAATCTGTGGTTATAATCTTACTTGAAAAATAGTGTGCAAAAGCATCTGGGCTTTCCAATGGCGTCCTTAGTCTGGGCTCATATGATTGGAAGTCTACTGGGCTTTTCTAAGTTTTGACTAAATAGTGGATTCCTTTCAAAAAAAAAATAAAATAGTGAATTAGTCTCTCTTTCTTCCAAGTCTTAATGGGATGCTAAGAGCATCTCCCACGGTGAAGTCTAATGTGTATGTGTTTTGTATTATGATTTTTTGTGTTTTGTATTATAAAAATTCTGTATTTTACAAGTATAAATCTTGTATATCATTATTTTGATTCATGGTCCATAATACTATATAGACTTTAGTTTATGATATAAATTGTCAACATGCTCCGTGTAAGCACGTAAATACACGCGCATGTTGGTGCGCTTCTTTGCCCACACGTGATGTGCGAATTGAAGTATTTTTTCTAATCATAAAAATTGTAAAAATTTACGAAGTAATATGTTGTAGAAAGACTTTTTTTTTTCTTTTCTTTTCCATTACCTATCTCCTTCACATCATATGAATTGCATAAAAACTAAGAAAAATTCCATTAATGAAGATGCTCTAAAGATATTACTCTTTTTAGTATCTTTTACTCCCTATTTAATAAAGTTATATAATATGTTTTTGCTAGTAATACATATAAATACAAAATATATTTACGACACTATTATAAAATTAGGGGGGGAAAAAGAAGATAAAGGAGAGGACATTTAAGAATAGACCCTACCTTCACATGATGCCTTCTATTCAAGAACATTTAGTTTGACGTATTTTATCAAACATATTTATAAGGAAATTAATGTTTGTGTTAGAGTTGTTGGGTCGTGTCCATTTAGACCACTTTTCAAGATGGCTGGGTTATGATTTAGAAGACTCATTTCAAAAGTGGTGGGCCAATCCATTTTTTTCATTACTTATTACTAACTATCTCAAAGAGTCGAAGTTAGTCCCACCTGCTTAGTTCGATCTTTGAGTAATATCCATAACTACTCAAAGTCTTTTTTTCTTACTGAAAAGTTCGATCCCGTCTCGTCTCTCAGTGTCAGTATCGGCCCAGCAGAGTACTTTCGCTGTTGGTATTCTTTTCGATCTCTACGCATTTTAACCACTTTGACCATAATTAATCGGTAATTACCCTTATGCCCCATAATCAAATAATACCACCTTAACTAATCTCTGAACACATACATCTGCAGATAGCTGAGATAAGCCAAAGGAACACTGACAACATTAACAAAATGTGCAGTTAGTTTAATGTGGTTTTGCATACTGCCAAACCCAAAAGTACAAGTACAATACCACACGGCTATCTACAAACCGTACATCGGTGTACTGCGTGTCTATGTCCTAACAAATCGAAGAGCACTTGTATATATATATGGTGCAAGATTTGGATAAGCATATATAACTACTCCAGATTATTTCAAGTGGATACATATATAAATTTTATATTTTGGGTGACTAAAAAAATTGTAACAATTAGGGATAGTAATGGGATGGGATTGGACCCCTATTCTTACTCTCATCCCCAGTTGGTAATAAAAACTCCTCACATCCTGGTCTCTGAGGAAAATCTCTGCCACAAGTCAACCTTATAGTTAAACTAATACTAAGTAGTGTATATTGTAATAAATCTCGTTTTACCCTAACTGATAAAAGAATCACAATGAAGGAGGTAAACCATACTGGATATGGATAAGCAAAACAACTGCTAATACTTCATATTATTTCTAGTGGATACATATAATATCTTATGTACTGTGTATATAATATAAGTATAAATCATTAATTATTCTGACTACAAGGTCTATAGTTCGACTCTTTGTAGAATTTATTTTGGTCTTTTCAATTTGAGCCGGTTAGTTATGGATAATTCAGTCTAATTTACTTCGTTATGCTCTTTTGATGGCTAAGATTTTGACGACCGATTTCACCTAAAACATACGTTTAAATAACAATTATATAATTTTTTTTTTTTTAAAAACAATTATGGACTGCCCAGTATAAACTACTCCAGATTTAGTAGCCACGTAAGATATCCTTTTTAGTTGTTTATGTTCGTCTGTTGTTGATTTGTAACTTTAATAGAAGCTAAGGCTCCTGATCGTGCCGTCGTGCATCACCGTACCAACGCGTAGGATTAGGAGCAGGATGTAAGCAAATAAGCAATAATGGTTATCTTATAAATATTCCATTAAATAAGTACAACCCCATAATCATATTCAGTTATCCTGGATCCGGATTAGGTATATATACATGTATCATTTACCCTCTCAAATTGTTGGAATAATTTGTTTAATGAGCACAAGATTTCAGTTCGCACGATTTCACGGGATCCACATTTAATTCAGTACTTTTATATATTGCTCTGCTTTGCAGAGCTTATAGTTTATTTTAAGCTACTAATAAGCTATAAGCTCTGTTTGGTAATGTTCCTAAAATAAACTTCTAGCTTAAAATAAGAGCTTATTTCGGAACGCTACTTTAGGTAGCGCTTCAAAATAAGCTCCTAGCTTCTTAACTTTTTTTCCATCTTTATTCTTATTATTTTAAAAAATGACATAATTTACCCTTCCCAATTAAAACAATTTTCTCTTCTCTTTTATCCGCAACTTTCACCGTTATTATTATTATTATTATTATTATTATTATTATTATTATTATTATTATTAGATTTGCAACAATATTAGTACTTCATTATGAGATGCATGCTAGATCATGATTATGTTAATAGTTTTATTTTAAAATGTTAATTTTTTTAAAAGACAAAATGTTAAATTTTAATATGTAAACAAACTAATTTAAATTTTATGAAAATGTCATTTTTAGTCTTTTTACATTTATCAGCTTATCAAAAAGCTAATTTTACCAAACACTTTCAATCATAACAGCTCTTCAGTTTTCAGCTTCGAGCTTATATCTTTTCAGTTTTCAGCTCCTAGCTTATAGCTTTTCAGCTAGGTTTGCCAAACAAAGCCTATATATATATATATATATATATATATATATATATATATGACTTTACTATTATATAATATAATAAATTAAAGTCAAATTTTGCTATTGGTTTAGCCTAATTTTGACCAAATAAATGAGATAGCTAGTGGGTGTGTATGTATAATATTTTGTGCAATTATAAACTTGGTAGCTAAGCAAGCCACTAGCTCCATTCCAACTTCCAAGAAGGAGTGAGCTAAGGTAGTGGGTTGATGATCTTTAGATGTTTCATCATCACTGATAGTTTAATTATAGGAAGCAACTTTAACCAATTAAGTTGTTGAATAATTGATTTGATAATAATAATAATAATAATAAGATTTAAAGTTTAACTTCTTGTGATAGTTTTGTAATAATAATAACCATTATTACTTAATTGGGTCGGTTTGGTGCGAATGAAGATTAATCTGAGTATGGTACAGTTAGAACGTACTAATGTTTTTGAAAAATAAAGGTGTCTCCTACAATTAGAACATATTAGAATTTTTGAAAAATAAGAAAAAAAAAAAAAAAAAAAGAGGAAGGGATAATTTTATAAATATTACAAATTTAAAAGTTTATAATAATTATAAAATTAAACTCGTATTTTTTTACTAAAATTTTTAATCATTGACAAATTTTAATGAATGACAGTGAAAATACTATGTCATTAATATCATCACCATCTACAATAATGTAACTTACTTTTCATAAAGTAGTTAAAGATAATGACACTATCCGTTTAGAAGCTCTTATGCATATATTCATAATACACACCTATTAAAGGTATAATTGTATTTTGAATTGAATAATATAATAATAAATGGAGGATCATATGAATCTTCAAGAATAGTAATAAGCCAAATCCACATTTTCCTCCATTATTTGGCCCTATTCCACCTTAATATATTGTTTGCTTTCGTGGGATATTGCCAATACAGCTAAACTATGATTTGACAACACTTTTGTAGTATATACCGATATTTGAATATAATATATATGATACAAGAATTTCGATTTAGTTTATTTTATTAATTGAGAGAAGTGTTAAGTACTACGACTCTTCACATGAAAAAAAAAAAAAAAAGAAAAAAATCTAGAATATTGATTGAAACTAGTGTTACAGATACTATACGCAACTTAATTTAAAAAAAAAAAAAAAAAAAAAAAAAAGATTCCACCCTCAAACCCATCTAATTGAAGCAAAAATTATCCGTATTACCGTATATACACTCGGCAATCAAGAATAAATTGCATTTACATTTTGTTTGAATATTCTTTGTGTAAAGCATTTTGTTTTGTTTTGTTTGGATTGGAGGAATCATGTTATGAAATCCTTGCCGTCCAAGAGCTGGCAATAAGACATTTGGGCATAAATGAAGGGATGTGATGAGTTGTTTTCAAACACCATATATACCATCCCAGGAGGGCAACAGATGATGAATATTAGTGATGTAATTTCATTTTCATAGGATGAATTGTGGACAGATCAGATCAGACCACTGAATTATTGTGCATATAGAATAATATATAATAATTGTGCATTATTGAGAAGAGAATTGAATCAATTCAATGTGGTCCTAGCTAGCTTGTTTACATTCATCATCACCATCTATCATTCTTCAATTTCACCCTGCCTTTTACCTCAGATCACTAGTGACACCAAATCAGTC